TATCTATATATTTATTCATAGTTTTCTATATTTTTAGAAACTTTAATAAAAAGAGAAGAAGAAAAATAACATTATATTTTTCAGATGGGGTTTACTGGCATGGTGTTGCATGGGAGGAGTGTCTTCAGCATCCTCTAAAGCTGTCATTCACACCTTGCCGCACCCCCACACCCAACTCTCTTAATGCGAACAGCCCCTCCGGCCTTTGGAGGATGCGGTGGTGCAACGTGGGATGCATAGGCTTAGTAATGGCTCGGGTCCACCGAGGAAAGTGGGAGCTGGGGGACTTGAACAAATTTCATAAGAAAACACGGTAACATTTTTTTATCAAAATGGTTTAATAGTTCTGTACTCCATTAAAAAAAACAGTTAATGAAAAAATATTGTGGTCTGTATGAAACTGACATTACACGATTTTCCAGCTACTTTGTAATGTATTTATAGTTAGTTGTCCTTTTTGTTTTGAGAGCTACCTTACTAAAGTACTTGGTAACCTGGCCCCATTCCCTCAAATTCATGTTTTTAAAATTTTCCTTTCTTTCATTAGCAGGAGGCAGTGCATTTTGCAAAAACCAAATCAGTACTGGTTTGGAAGCTAGGTCCTTTTTCACACAGGGCCAATCAGCATTTTAACCGGCGACTTTGGGGTTTTTTCCTCTTGAGCTCTATCGCTTCTATTTTATTTCTGCAGTTGTTTGTTCCTTCCTCTTTTTTTGCTTGGAAATTAATCATGCAGGAAATGATTAACCACAGAGAGCTGTCTGTCTGCCTCTGACTCAATGTGTTTAAGAGGGGGCACCTCGCAGCAGCCCAAAATGGCTGACTGGCTGCAAACAGCGCACTTGCAGTCCAGTTGTTTGCCCTGTCCAGCCCACGTTAAATGTCACATTTCTTTTCAGCATCTGTGATGCTCCTGAAATGGTTTCTGAAGTACCAAATTAAATCTGAAATGCCCAGAATTTGTGTTTCACGGAATTCAGTTTAGTGCCACTTTTGCTTATTGCTCTTTATGGATTACTTTGCGGAGCAAGGAGCTCTTTGCAGAATGCATCATGTGCTGTCTCCTATACTTTGGGTTTTGAATGAAATTCATTTTTATCACAACGTGTTGCGTACAGTAATATTTTAATACCATTTCTGCTAGTGACTGCTGGGTGCGCCTGCAAAAATGAGAGATTCTTTATGTGATCGTATGATTTACCTGGGATTAGGCGGGCATCTCGTTTGCTAACGACTGGGGTGGCTTTCTCAAAAGGAAGCAGATGCAGGCCATGCGCACCCCTCTCAAGAAGATCCGTGGGGAGGCTGCCCGGGCAGCCGAGGCGGGGGCGGGCGAGGGGGAGGCCTGCTGCTGCCAGCTGTGCAGATCCTCCTCTCTCGCTGATGATAGAGACCTTGTGTTTGGGGCTCAGGGGCCGACGCTGCGTGTACGTGTGGGGGTTAGGTACCGTAATCCTTTCTGCTCCACCATTGATGCTCATCTAGATATAACATTTCCATATAGCTTCTTAAAAGCCGTGGTAATTTGCACTACTAGAAAATATGCAAGGACGTGTGTCCTGGGTTTCAAAGTACTGATGTGCCTTCAGCCTTTGCCTTTTGGAATTGGTTCCTTTTCAACACCCTGCAGCAACTTGGTTGTTAACAGATTTGGTAGGTAAAATTTATTACTGGGTGGATCGGTTACTATTTCAGGTATTTTATAGTGCCACTCTTCACAAGAGTGAAGCAGTGTCATAACTTACGTTTTAAGCTAAAATTTGACAAGCTGGTGTGTTTTACTGGCTCTGTAAGTGTATGCATTATAGTTTTGTGTGTGGGCACGCAGGTTTCTGAGTCATGCCATATGACCTCTTTTCTGATGGCTCCTAGGGGAAGTGTGTGCTCTAGAACATGAGTAAACAACTCTGCAGGATGCTTGCATTGACCTTCAAGCCAGTTCTGCCTGAGTTTGGCCTATTACAGAAGCTTGTCCTGTGCATCTGAAATGTCATTTTCCAGACTCCCCCAGTAACTGCCCTGGCGGCTGCAGGGCTTGTTCAGCAGTAGCTCAATGCTAAGCTTGCCTGTGTGCAGCTGTGCACCTCATCTCCACTCCTGCCCTGTTGAGAAAGCCCTTCGGTACCAGGCGAGGGGCTAGCTAGTGTGCAGCTGGTGCCTACAGGTACATCAGAGGACATCATCCCTCTGGAAGATGGGATAGGCAAGGAGAGGGTGCCCAGTGCCTTTCTCCCCCTTACCTCTCTGCAAATAATGTGTGCAGGGAGGATTTTGGAGAGGCTGGATGTGTCCGTGGGCAGTGGCTTTCCCTTAGAGAGCTCAGGCTTCCAGCATTACCTCGCTTCCCCTCTGTCCCCACCGATTCCTTAAGAACCTGATCTAAACCAACCCAGTTACAAGGAAAAGAAGTAGAAGAGACCAGCACAAGATGCAGAAAGCGATCGCATAACTGACAGGGAAGTAGACAAGTGGCAGCGTTTGCAAAAACACTGCTTTTTAGAGAAAGCGTTTGATAGACCAGCTGGCTCACTTGCTGCATTCAGGTCTGAGCTGCCTTAAGGAATTAATTTAAAAGTCTGATATCAAACCAAACTTTATTCTGCCTGCTCCAGAAACTTTCCTGTGGCACATGGAGTACCAAGGAGACTCACAGCGCATTATCCAGACTGCTTTGGCCTCTTATCAAAGCAGTGCAGAGAGCAGAATTTCTCTTTCTCTTTTTAATCAGTTGAAAGAGTTAAAAGCTTGGTGAAAAAGCCTAATGGCATAGTTACACTAGAGACAACTGCAGCTGTGAAAAGACTGCGTTAAGAAACAGGATGGTTGTGGTCTGCTGTAAGAAATAATTTTCCTGTTGACTATTTTTTTAAACAGGAAGCTGAAGAACAAAGCAGCATTAGTCTTGGTGCTTTTAATAGGCTTCAGATTTCAAATATTGCATTTAAGATAAGCAGATTGGGAAAGGATAGGGCTTTGTGCAGAGTTTTATGTAACGACTGAGAGCGAGAAATACAGAAGACAGGAATACAGCCAAATCTGAGCAGATCCTCTGAAGGTGCGGCTGGTGCTTCTCTGGAGATGCCATAAGATGCGCAGTCGTGCACCAGAGGATTGGCGAGAGCACGCCGGTCCGTCTGCAGGACTTTGCGAAGGCGCGTGCTTGCACAGCGCTGCGTCGGCTTGGCTGCGCCCAGCTTCCCCTTTGTCAGCCATCCTGTCCGTCTGCCAGCTTCCCCTCTGCTCCCCTTGCTCTTTTGCAGTGACAGGAAAGAGAAACAGTTTCTGCAGTACGGGAGAAGAAAACCTAGAGACAGTGGTAGGGCCTCACGCTGCTTTGAACTCCATGTTTTTTTCTAGATAGTCAGCCAGAGCTAGGGGTGATGAGTCTGACTGCTTTCCAAGCCCTTTCCTCCCTCAAGATTTTAGACAAAATCCATTAAAGTCTTATTTCAGAAATGCTGTCTTCTGAGCAAGATAGCTCAGCAATTATTTTTTTGCGTGGGGGTTTATAGCTGTATTCTAATTCTTTTGAAGCATGAGCATCTGACGAGATAAATCTGTACTTCTAACCACTTCTCTCTCACACAGATATCATGGATCATCTCAGAGCCATGGCAGACTTTGTAGGTGGTGACTCACCTCAAACCCTCACTGCAAATGCCATTTTGTTCCATTCAGAACATTTTCCCAATGCTCATTTAAACTGTAAAGGGTACTGTACCTAGCATGAAGTGGGTTTGTCAGATATTGTGCTATTGCAGTTCTTGGTTTTATCAAAAGCAGTTAAGTGCCTTCAGAAAGTAAGAGCTGCGTATTCTTGTAAAATAACTGCCCTGGGGACCTCAGCGGCCAGCCTGGGGTTGTCTGGAGAATAACCCTTATTCCTGTTCCCACTGTGTTTACCTGTCTTGTGCAAACATCAGATAAGTGGTGGCAAATCACTGTTACTAAAGCTGGCTCAGGTGGATGGACGTGAGCTGAAATACCATAGCACCGTTAGAAAAGCTCTGGAGCCTTCGATAGGCGCAGTTGCAGCGAGCAGTGTGCCAAAATGCCACAAAAAGCTGTTGTGACTTGGAAAAAAAGTCCTCGATGCTTTTTCTTTAGGTTTTTTCTTTCAATATTTTCATTGCAATGAAGTTCTACGTCTCAGGTGTGACCCTCTTAGGATTGCCCTAGGCTGGAAGTTCTGCTTGGGGTGGGGACATGCAGGAGCCTGGTCTCTGGCAGGGAAGCTCAGGGAAGGCTGAGCTGTGGCAGCCAGGCTTTTCCCTCTGCAGCAGCCTGCGGCTGGGAGGCCGGACTGCCTGCTTGCTCTTCCTCCTCTGGGGAAGAGGGCAGAGCACGACACCGTGTTTGCTGCTCCTGAGGAGGAGGAGGAGGAGGAGGAAGGTGTGTTCAGAGGTGGTGATGGAGCTTGGCATCTTCAGAGCAAGCAGGGAGAAAGGAAGAAGCATGAGTCTTTCCAAGAGTTCTGCTGTTCCACCCTACCATAATTGTGTGTGTGGAGATCTTCCGGCAATTTAAGGGCTTTAAAATGTCAGCATCTCTTTCTGAGTATGATCTTAAAGAGATGGTGCCTTCTTGAAGTAAATGTTGATGGTATAGCTATGGGATTTTCCCGAAATACTTCCACAGGAACAAGACTGTTGGATTAAACAGAGTTCGATTTTCTTATTGCATATTTGTGCATTGCTATATCAATGCATGGGTTGTGTGTGTGTGCAAAACTGGATATGTATGTCTGTGAGTTTGTATGGCAGTGGGGATCATGTAGGGAACCCCCATTTAATGATGCAGCTGGTTTCCATACAGTGAAACATGAATTGCTTTTTGCAGATTATTTACGCTTAGCAAGTGTCGCAGATAAACCTGTTAGCTGCAAGGATGTTTTTTAGCTGAGTAGAAATTTATTTATTATTAATCTCTGGGCCATATGTGTTTCTGTGTTTTGCTGTGCAGGTTTCTTGGCAAGGCCAGACAGAGCTCAGCCTTCCACTATGCCTGTGCCTCCCCCTCCAGCTCCCCCTCCACCCCCAACACTGGCCTTGGTAAGTTTACAGGAGGTAAATGCACTGTATACCCTGCCCTCTGTTGCTGCTTGTCATATTGAACGGAACATCCAGAGGCACTGTGGTGTGGATGAGGGTATCATAGAATGGTTTGAGTTGGAAGGGACCTTAAACATCATCTAGTTCCAACTCCCCTGCTGTAATCAGGGACACCTTCTGCTGGACCAGGTTGCTCAAAGCCCCATCCAACCTGGCCTTGAACACTTCCAGGGAGGCGCATCGCCTGTGCCAGTGCCTCACCACTCTCATCATAAATAATTTCTTTCTTACATCTAATCTAAATCTACCCTCTTTCAGTTTAAATCCATTACCCCTTGTCCTATCAATGCCTGACGTGTATGGTATTTGGCGAAAGCTCTCCAACATTTTGTTTACAATTCGTGATTAATTCTACAAGAGGGACCATCACTTACACTCTTTTCCAGTGCCCATATGGATGTCACTAGACACATTGACTCGCCATCCTCCTCTTCCTCCCACACTGGTGGTTTGATCTGGTGTAGGGATCCTAGGTGGAGAGGCACAGTTCCTCCAGAGCTTGTCTAACTCAGGGGAATTGAAGTCTTGCTCTCCCCTTGCCTTTCTCCAGCCACATACTCCCACCTTCTCCCTTGTTCTACTCTAGTACTTACATGACTTGAGCTGGAAAAAATCAATCCTATTGTTTAAATTTAGCAAGGATAGCTCTTAGCCAGCATAGCTCCTTCAGCCAGCCTGCGGTATCAGAGCGCACAGCATTTTGTTTGCTGTGTTTGCCCTCCGACAGTCAATCGCCTCACTGACAAGAAAGAAGAGGCTTCTTGAAATGCTGTTATAAAGTACTGGGGTGTTTTCACAGCAAAATCCTGGCTTGTTACACAGGTAGGTTGGGCTGTGCCACTCGAGTCTTTCCCTCATTTTCCACCACAGCAATATATGCACTCTGTGCTTCATCCCTCCATGGCAATTCTGACCACCTTTCAGGAAATTTCTGTTACATTGATCTGACAAGCTTTTGAAGAATCGCCATTTCCTAGAAGAAATAACCATATATACATGCGTGTGTGCATATATGTGTATGTTGGGGTGGTTTTTTTTGGTTCTTCCTTGAAAAACTGTCTCGCCACAACATAAACTGAAAAGAGAGGACCATTGAGACAAACTTCATGCATCTAAAGGTTTTATTGGGTCTATTTGAAGAGGTCTATATTGTTGAAGTGGTGATTGCCATTTTAAAGTATTTCCATCAGAACTAGAATAGTAGATAAAACTCCATCTTTCTTCTGACTTATCCAGAATTTGTATATTAAGGGCTTTCACTACAGCTTTCAATAATGTCCACCTTTTTGTGTAATCAAATTATGTGTCTAGTCTGTTCTTGTTCAGTCTCCAAAATGGCAATTTGCCACAGATGTGCCTTGGCTCTAAAAAATCAGAGACTCTAAATCCTGAGTTAAAAAAAATGTGAATTCACCTAAGTGTTCTGTTTCCAGTGAATAGCGTGGGTTAGAATAGCAGCCGTGCTTGGGACCTTGAGTCAGTAACAAGGCCGACTACCTGTGACATCATTCACAAAACCAGATGTGGCACGCTACCGACTCCAGTGCTGTTAAAACAGAAATCCAGGCCTCACGTAACTACCGTATTTGAGCTGAACTTTGTAGCTAGAAGTTGAGGTATACTTTTCCTCCTCATTTTTAATTTTATTTTGCAGGCAAATACTGAAAAGCCATCCCTAAGCAGGTCAGAACAAGCAGGGCGAAATGCTCTACTATCTGATATTACCAAAGGGAAAAAGCTGAAGAAGACTGTTACTAATGACAGAAGTGCTCCAATTCTAGACAGTAAGTATGATTCTGCATGTTGGAGTTTCTGTATGCATGAATGGTTCTACATATCTGAATGCAGAAAATTATTTTACATATCACCAGATGAACTGTCATGAGAGAAGTAGGTAAAACAAAATGCCAGAAGTTGGCATGCATAGAAATAAAGTCTGTTCATCATGGATTAAGTCAGCTGAGAAATCATAGAATCATCTAGGTTGGAGAAGACCTTCAAGATCATCAAGTCCAACTATTAACCTAAGGCTGTCAGTTCCACCACTAAATCATGTCCCTAAGGTCTGCATCTATACATCTTGTAAATACCTCCAGGGATGGTGCCTCAACCACTTCGCTGGGCAGCCTGTTCCAATCCTTTACAACTCTTTCCATGAAGACATTTTACCTAATATCCAATCTAAATCTCCCCTGGTGCAACTTGAGACCATTTCCCCTTGTCCTGTTGCCTGTTACTTGGGAGAAGAGACCAACCCCCACCTCACTACAACCTCCTTTCAGGTAGTCGTAGAGAGCAATAAGGTCTCCCCTCAGCCTCCTCTTCTCCAGACTGGACAGCCCCAGCTCTCTCAGCCGCTCCTCATAAGACTTGTTCTCTAGACCCTTCATCAGCCTCATTGCCCTTCTCTGGACACGCTCCAGCACCTCAGTGTCCTTCTTGTAGCGAGGGGCCCAGAACCGAACACAGCACTCCAGGTGCAGCCTCACCAGTGCCAAGTACAGGGACACGATCACCTCCCTACTCCTGCTGGCCACACTATAGTCCTGACA